GTTATTCATCTGGGACAAAAATGGTGGCTATGGTCTAGTGCAGGGGTCGGCAGCCTTTCACAAATGGTGTGCCGAGTCTTCATTTATTCACTCTAATTTAAGGTTTCGTGTGCCAGTAATACATTTTAACGTTTTTAGAAGGTCTCTTTCTATAAGTCTATAATATATAATGAAACTATTGTATGTAAAGCAAATAAGGTTTTAAAAATGTTTAAGAAGTTTCATTTAAAATTAAATTAAAATGCAGAGCCCCCCAGACCGGTGGCCAGGATCCGGGCAGTGTGAGTGTCACTGAAAAAATCAGCTTGCGTGCCGCCTTTGGCACGCATGCCATAGGTTGCCTACCCCCGGTCTAGTGCATGGAAACCTGAAAGTGAAGTTGACTAAAATGAGAAAAATACAAAAACAACAAAAAAAAACCATAAAATGTTAATAGTCAAACATTAGATTATTAAAAATTCTCTCAACTTTAGACACTGACAGATTAAAATTAATTTTAAGGAACTAGTATGGTATAAAGAACTGTCTTTCTGATAAGCTCACTAAAACTACTATCATTGTGTCGATATACACACACAGTTGGCTCAAATTACAGAACAAATAAAAAGCACACAAACTATAGACAGACTGTTGCAGTAAAGAAAGATGTCATTATTTCCAATTCCCTCACCAGTCTGTCACTTTGATTTACAGCAGCTTCAAATTGTTAAGCGATGAAAATATAAACTTGACCAAATACAGTCAAGCAAGTTTCTCAGCAAGCATTAATATATTCAAAATGCATTTAGTGTGCAGAGCAATACTTTATCATCCTGGGAAGAATCTCATTGGCTTGCTGCCATGTTAGTTTGGCTTGTAGACAATACTAACTATTCCATTCCCTGCAGCAATTTTTAAACCAGAACTAGCCATCTGAAAATTAAATGCATTTTTAACTACTCTTATTTTCGTCTGTTACTGTAACTAAACTGTATCTCCCCTTTCACCTACAGGTCTCATTCCAGTGACACCCTTTGCCCCCCTTTTTTGGGAGGGTCCAAATGACTTTTTTCTTGTGTTTACATTTAACATTGGTTTCTATCCCCTCCTTTCAGTTTGATTTCCCCCTTCCCCTCAACCCATCCTCTGTTGTCTCCAGTATTTGGTGCACATACTCATACCTTACTTTAAGAAGTTTGTATGGTGTATTTTATTTAACAAAAAAACAGATCCCTTTTCAATCTTTACTTTTTTCAAATTTTTCTCAAGTGAACATACAAACTTAACTCTTCACACTGCCACTTGGAGTTCAAAGTTTTGTGTTTCCCTCACAACTGTGCAGAGAACACCATTCACTCATCTTTACGTGCTAACTGACGTGCTACTGTCAACTGTTACAAGATATACCCCTGAATTCAAAGAAGTCTTGGGGAAATAAAGGATTTTTACCAGGAAGTTACAGGTCTAGGAGTGCAAAAATGATTTTTAAAAGTTTCTGCAAAAACTCACTCTGGCTGTTGGCCAATCTCCTTTCAAATTATTAAATTCTCTGTTAAATTTGGCAGTTCTAAGTCACCAGAGCTCCAAGGTAATCAAAGAATGCTAATCTCGCATTTAATTAATACTCTAGATTGAGGCAAGAGCTAGGGGAGATTCTGCCACTGGAGCTCTGGGCACTGTCCCACTCAAAAGGGAGACACTTATTTTCGTCTGGGATTTTTACCAGCACAGTGCACTCATACACTAGCCAACAATGGGCTCTAAGGCAATGGCAGAATTTCACTGAACAGCCGGAGTCATAGGCTTGGTCTACACTAAACCCCCAAATCAAACTAAGGTACGCAACTTCAGCTACGTGAATAACGTAGCTGAAGTTCGAAGTACTTTAGTTCGAACTTACCTCGGTCCACACACGGCAGGCAGGCTCCCCCGTCGACTCCACGGTACTCCTCTCGTCTAGCTGGAGTACCGCAGTCGACGGCGAGCACTTCCTCGTTCGACTTATCGCGTCCAGACAAGACGCGATAAGTCGAACCCAGAACTTCGATTGCCAGCCGCCGAACTAGCGGGTGGGTGTAGACATACCCATAGCTTGCAGAAGTGCCCATAATGAGCACATTCCATAAGGGGCTCCAAAGCATCAACATTAGCTGTCTGACTTCTCTGAAAAGTTTGACAGTCACTATACAGCTCTGAGGGTAGCTTTCTAAATTGCCCTAAAGTAAATGAGGAGGAGACATGTGGAGCTCAGGCAAGTTACTGCGCACCACCTAAATTTCTGACTCAGCAATCACTGCCCATTAATGGTGACTGCCTCAGCACTTAAGGCAATAAATGTATTCCACTCCTAGCCTGCTGTATTTTCAAACGAACACTGCCTGCTACCTGTGTTCCGAGTGCTGGCTTCTTGTTTTTACTGCCCACCCAAGTAAGTTATTCTGCAGGTAACAAGTTTAGAGCAGAAATAACCAATCTTTACCAGACTTGGTAGTCGCATCAAAATCAGTGTGTTCCAGTTGCAAAAAGACAATGAAAGGTTGGGACTTTGAAAAGTACCTAGTTGAGTCAGGAGCTTAAATCCCATTGAAAGCCAATGGGATTTAGGAGGCTGGAACAGATTAAATATTAAATAAAGATACAGATAGGGTGCCTAATGGGATTTTCAAAAGTGTTTAGAAACCCAACTCCCATTGAAATCAATGGGAGTTAGGGCCCAAATCCTTAAAGATACGTTGGCATTTCTCTGCCTCTTAGGTGCCCACATTCACCATTTAGGCACCACTGACATTTCCATAGGCACCAGCATCTAAGTTCCCAAGGCACCTAAGTCAACCTCGGTAAAGCCACCTGAGCGCTGATGCTGTTCCATAGCCAAAGAGGGGCTTGGAGCCATAGCTTAAGTCTAAAGCCCAGAGACACCAAAATAGGATTCTTAAAGTAGGCAGGGGAACACTGATCTCACCAGTGGGGCCCAATCCTGTAGGTATGCTCAGAGCCTATTACTGGTTACCTGTCAACCCCTGCATCAGGAGGGTCAGAGGCAGACTACCAATAGGCACAGGGGCAGCAAAGCACATGCAGAAAAGGCAACGAGTGCACACGGCAAGCATAAGACAGTTTCAAGCATAAGCAGGAGATACAGTTCTGGATGCTAGGGCATGGGCTACCTAAAAGCTGACCTGGCTTAGGAACCTAACTCCAGAAGAGTCACAGCTGATGATCTTGAGTGGAGAGGTGGCTATCTCTGGCCTATCAGCCATGTGCCCCAGGTCAGCCACTTAGATGCCTAAGCCCTTGTTCCCACTACTTCACTTCTGAATAGCTTAGGAAAGTTCATGCCCAGTTGGTCAGGTTCTGAAAATCCCTTTCTAGGTGCCTAAATTCTCTACATGTATTGTACGGGAAGCTGGGTGCCTAGTCTGGGGCAGGCCACCTAGGGATTAGGCATTACAACAATGAGCAGAGCAAAGCATAAGTAGTTTTAAAGACTTGGGCCTGGGTGCTTTTGAAAATCCCACTAGGCGACTAAATACTTTGAGTGATTTAGGCACTTCGGGCCAGAATTTAAAAATGGAATATAGATGCTTTTAAAAATTTTACCCGGGGTCTAAGTACCTATGATCAAAACACTAAGAGTTACAAGTAATTCATAAATATTTGAGGATGAGTTACTGTGAAGAATAAGTCACGTGAGTTCTTTATTAAGCCTCCACCACATTTTAAGAATGTCTTTTAGAAATTCCCATCTAGTTATATACGATTTTCTGAATTCCCTTTCTGGTCATTGTAGATTATCAAAGCAGCTACGTATAAACAGAACCTCTCATAACCAGTTTCCATCCCACTCCATCTGATTAACTGAGGTCATGATTCTGGGTAACACTGCCAACACCACGTCCATGGTAGCACAATGTGATGTCGTTGTATAGGAGGATTGTGCCACCACACAAATCATGGTGATCTAAACAAAAATGCTACTACATGTAGTTAATTACTGGTAAAAACAAATAAAATAGAATAAAAGGAAACTGTTGCAGAAATGCTTTAAAACAAAAAAAAAAATCACTTAAGTAATTGTTCTGTATCTGAAATAAGGACTAATGCAAAAAAGTAATTTAATATCAAAATACTGTCTGCAGGGCTTGCCTGGTTTCTTTTGGTTTAAGGCAAATATCTAAGAGCTCTCCTGCCTGCATAATTAAGCCACCCCCAATGAGCGATAGTTGCTATGTAGGCAAGAGACACTCTCCCGCCAACATAGTACTGTTGACACCGATGCTTTTGTGGGTGAGTCTTTCGTTGGTAAGGGGTGTGGTTTTTTTCACATCCCTGACCAACAAAAAGGTTTTGCCGACAAAAGCATTAGTGTAAACATAGCCTAAAAGTCTGAATCTTAGTAGGTAGATTAGACAAATCACCCTGACACAGATATTTACTTACAATTTTCAATTAAAACTCCTTCCAATGTCAGCTACGGACCATAGGCCAAATTCTACCTTCATTCTGACCACCATATTGCAGAAGTTAGGGAAGTATGTGCTTAAACGAAGGAAGTTCTTTCTCCTTTATACAGAAAGAAGCTAGACGCTTTCTGGACAGGGGACACGGTAAAATAACTGGAGTTTCTTCTATGATCATTCTATTACTTATTTTATAAATATCTGATCTTACTGTAAGAGAAAATGTTAGAAATATTTTCACCCAGGGTTATATCTATCTTTTTAAGCCATTAACAAAATAATTTTGCAATGGGAATGCAATATTTGCAGAGAACTCCTGCTAGTGAATTGTATGCACCAAAAATGGAAAAACTGCCTTCAGCTTTTTAAAACTTAAACAGCAATATCTGCTCATTCTCCATATGAAATCTTTATAGGATTTCTATAAATTGCTGACTACAGTACATTTGCCAGGTTGTCCTATACACAAACTTATATTTAAATGAAAACTACGGAATAGAGAGAAATCTGATAGGAGAAAAAACTCACAAGAAAAACAATTATTGAGCTAACAGCACTAACCTTGCTGCTCACTGTCTGCTTCAACTTTTGCAGAACTTGGTGCTACAGGAAGGGGTCGAGGAGGACGAGGCTTCGGAGTCGGGGGAGATATTTTTTTTCTTCCAATATATTCTACGTAAGTTCCTGGAAAATCCCCCCTCTCCCCTGTGGTTTCATTACAGCCGTTCAACCAACCAATTTCCTCAGGCTTCGCTTCTTCCCCTTCACTAAATCCAAGTGCTACTAAGGTACCTTTATTCACAGTTAATATATCCCCTAAGTGCAAGTCAATGTCTTCTTCTCGCTCTTTTTTGTAGTCATATAAAGCTCTGTACTGGTATCCTTCTGCACTCATCTTGGCAAATATTTTATCATTCAATAATGTAATTAAACAATAACAAAACTCAAGTTGTCCAGATTAATCTTTATGTACAAACAGATTAAAAATGTACTAAATGGGATAGTTAAAATGTCAATAAGAATTCCTAAAGAACACAATCCTCCAAAGATTCAAAAAGCACCAGGATTTGGTATTATGTTGCTGATGTGTTCCACTTCTTCAAGTCTAGATCAATATTCTTCCAATTAATTCTTTTTCTGAGTTTCCTGGCACTCCTGGGACCAAGAATTCAAGTTTAGCTGAATTTTACAGCCTGTTACACCTTCTTCTGATGTACTTGCCATAGAACATGGGGGAGGGATAGCTCAGTGGTTTGAGCATTGGCCTGCTAAACCCAGGGTTGTGAGTTCAATCCTTGAGGGGGCCATTTAGGGATCTAGGGCAAAATCAGTACTTGGTCCTCCTAGTGAAGGCAGGGGACTGGACTTGATGACCTTTCAAGGTCCCTTCCAGTTCTGTGAGATAGGTATATCTCCATATATTTAACATCTGTTAATGAGCTCTGCACACATGCTGTACCTATAAAAAGAAAAAAAACGAGATTAATGACATTGTTTCAGACTTCATTAAGTTTGCAAGACTTCAACTATGTTACATTTAAGTTATATGCAAGACATACTTCTCAAAACATGGGACAGGTCATACATTCCCATGGAAAGGCCAAAAAGAGGGTCAAAGTCACACCAAAACTATGGCCATTTACACATGCTAATTTTCCAAAGTCTTACCTGGTCAGAAGAGACCAATTTAAATCCTTCAGTCAAATAGGAGGTATGTCCCTCTGAACCTCCATGTCTCAAGACACACGGCATACACTATGGATATTGGGGCACATGTAGAGGGCTAGCTGCTCCACACTTCTTCCCTCAGCACACTGTCTAACCTGGCAGCAGGACTCCATCTAATGCCTTTCTGCTAGCATATGGCCCCAACCTTTCACATGAGATATGCCAGGACAGAATGGGAACCCACTAGAATTAGTGATGACATGGTCAGAATTCATGTCCAGGGTATTCCCCTGAGGTTTTAGTAGAACATGAGGATGTGCAGAATTGTTTTCCTGTAACGCCAGGGACCTCCATGCATGCTTGCATAGAGGAGCTTACTTGCTGTTTGAGAAACAGCCAGGGGAGGAAGGGGGGGGGGGGTAACGAATGATGCTACTTTGACTAAGATTCCCTCCCTCCAACAAATTGTTTGGGCCCTTTTAGCACTGTTTCCTTAATTTTCATGCTCTGTGCAATAGAAGTCAGAAGTAATCCTTTCCTCTCTCAATTTTTCTTAAATTATGCTACTTTCTGTTTTTGGTTAGGTGAGGGTCTTCCCCCTCAATTTTTAATTTGTTTTTCCAGTGGTAAAGTATGTTACTCAGCAACTGAAAATGACACACACAGACCACCTAAGAAGGAGCAGTTGAGCAGCATGGAGAGGTTGGGTGCTTAAATTACTTAATACAAGAAACTATAGGTCTGAAAGTTCAATCAAGTCTAACTAGAAAGCAATGAGTAAAAAACACTGTTGAAAAATAACCTTTTAATATACAGTAAGAAGACAGACAGACAACAACAGAATCCTTTTAAACTTTATTATTTCAACTGTTATTCCTTTGCATCTACTTACGTCCAATCAGAATTTGAACGGCTGTGTTAGGATACCAAAGAGTGCAAACTATTCAGTGTCGCAATGAAAAACTTTTAAAACGCAGCAGAAAAAAAGTCTTAAGAATTATGTAATATGAGTAGGCAATAGTTTCACTGTATATTGAAGTGCTGTGCAAGTGTAAGAAATGGTTATAAACTAGTTTAACGTAGTAGAAAAAAAAATCAAGACTGAATAGTCCTATAACAGAAAGAAGAATGTGAGAACAAAGGGCCCAATTCACTGGTATGTTAGAAAAATTTTGCCCTGCTCAGGTAGCATGAAGTTGCCCTAAAACCCAATTTAACTGGGCACTGCTGGATTCATCCTGTATAGTAGAATTCTCAAGAGACACAGAACTGCCATAGTGGCTGCTGCATCACCCTCCATCCCACCTACCAAGGGAGGGGGAACATAAAATCCTTGCTCCTGGTAATTTCTGGCTGCTATAATGGTGTGCTAGTCTCCAGGTGCCGTTGCAGTTGGACCGGGAAGGAGTTATTGAAGCCACACTTGCACATAACTAGTGGCCCAAACAATGCAACTTCTGTGTCAGATAGTATGCTGGAGTAGAGGTGGCGTCTGCCAGGAATAACGGTTTTCGCAAGGTTAGACCACAACAGTAGTCAATTTTGGGTGGGGGGACAGCAGCCATTTTGTCCCGCTACCAAAGTTCCTCACATAAAGCCCAGTCAGTCTTTATACACTGATGTGCAAACGTGGTTAAAGAGTTTAAAAAAACAGCAATAAATGAATCTTCGATGCTGTTCAGCAACACTCTCTTTAGAAAAATCAACGGTGTCACCAGTTATTTATTTTGTCCTGTTAAGATGTTACATAAATAGACTATCTTTATTCCAAATGGAGTTATATTGTCTCTATCTTCAGACATTTGAGTTAAAAATAAATAGCTAAGAGACTGCCTTAATTATTATTCAGCTAGGGGAGTTTTAAAGGAGAAAAAAAAGACATACTATTGGCAAGAAACATTGCTATATTTAGGGAGGAAATATGAATGAATAGCCAGGTGGCAGACGGAGTGGAGTAGGGTGCGATGGGGTAGAAGAAGGATTGTAAACATATCAAATGCTAATTTGTTCTATTTGCAGCCTAAGGGCTTGATCCTGAGGAGATAGGAGTACTTGTAACCCTTATCAATCCCTAATTCTGGGCAGAATTCCACTCACTCTATGATATGCCTTGTGTTGTGCTAACAACACTTACTTAAAATTCAACTCTAGATTGCTAGAGGTTCCTACACATCATCCTCCACTCAGATTTTTAACTATTTTTCCCCATATCCAAAAAATAGTGTTCTGGCACCCACACCTGTGGTACCAAAGCATTTCCTCCCACAGCAGCATTCCTCTGTTGACTAACTAAAAAGGAAAATGTATCTGCCTTCCACCCCCGTGAATAAATGCTGCTTTCAATCTTTGCCAGGCTGGAGGGAGACTTGCTTCAATTTGCTCATGTTCACATGTATCCACAAAATACTTCTATATCATCAGGGTAACAAAAATCCATCCCCTCCCTGACCCAATAGACTACACACAAGATACAATTGTTCCTATCATACATACATTCATCTGACATTTCTTTCCAAAGATTCCCTAATCCACTGTGGGGAAAAAGAAAATTCCTAGAAAAAAATCTGCCTAGCATAAAAACTTTCCTTCTTTAATTATCACATGATCTTTGACAGCACACCAGATCAACAAATGTAGAGATGCAGTGCAATGCACTGAAAGAACTGAAATAGAAGTTTAACAATGGATATTTGCTTGACTAACTTCTCCCCACTAGGTGTCTACAAGGTGCAATTCAAATTTCAGTTATCTCTACCATGAAAGTGTGATGCTACCATTCTCTAAATAAAAATAAGCAAGGTAAGTAGCTTGTTTGGATGTTACTTTGCTAAAGAAAATAAAGTTAATATAATAAACCAATGAAGTATCATAAAATGTATTGTGTATGATTTATCACACCATTTATAATGTCTTATCCTTAGATGAAGCAGTTTAAGCATCTGTGGTTTCCTGCACTGAATTAATTCAAATATTTCTACACAGACAAACTACGTTGATCAATCCCAGATTCCAGCAAGGAATGCCATTCTGAAATTTAAGCAGACATTCCATCAAATATTATATATACGCTGACTGCAAGGCCATGCTGGAGATAAATGACAGCGTCTTGGATTTTTTAATGAATTAATTTATTTATTTTTTTGTATTTTTACCAACTTATAATGTAGCCAGACCTAAGTGTCTTTCCATCCTATTAAGAGGAAGGATAAGTAATCCCCTCTAGAATCCTCCTCCTCTGACAGGCAGTTAAGAGGTCACCCATAGACTGAAATCACTTCTGCAAGGAAATCAGCTTTCCATCAGCCAGAGGGACAGAATTCTGTCCCTACAGGTGTAGGATTGGGAGACTAATAATTGTCAGCACAACATACTGCAAGTACAGCCACTGCTTGGAGGCAGGGATTTGGCAACCAAGTGTACTTTTTCCTCCCACTTATGGACCAGAATCCTTGAACCATTAGATTGTTTCTACAAACCAGACAGGAAAGTCGCAATACACTTAACAAAAGCTATTCTTTCTTCAAATACCATCATTAAGATTCAGAAAGCAATGCAGTTTCTCAAAGTAGTATAAAATATTCCCATACCAAGCTGCTAAGTGTCTCCAATGAAAAGAGTTTGTTGTAGAAATCTGTATATAAACTTGCTAAATTGAGGACATTAGTTATATTACTAAGTAACTCTGAAAGGGTTTTGTGTTTTGTTTTTTAAATATAAGGGGAAAGTTTTGAGAGATCACAGGGAAAGAAAGGCAAAAGCATAGTTCTTACCATAAATCTCCCAACATAAATGCAAGTAAATATTAATTTCTTTAAAAAGTTTCTAAACACAGTCCATTAAAAAAAAAACCAGGAATAAATGCATTATGTACATATACCCCAGAGTTCTAATGAGAAGAAAGAAACGGGGCAGTTTTTCATGTGAAGTTGTAGGGATTGCTCATATTGGCCACGAATAAGAGATTGAATGCTGACATTTAAATCTAAAGTTGCAATGCCATGAAAGCTTTTCAACAATATAAAAATGTAACATCTTGCTATGCTCATACACCACACACTGTATCATTGAAGTAGGAAGTGCCGTCCACTCTTTGGTTTGCTAAATCAGCCAATTCCTTTATTAAAAAAGAATCACTAGTACAGTTTGGGGACATCATGCCTGCTTTGGTTCCAAGTTAATAAACTTGGAAGTTTAAAAGTTGGGAGCGTCCTGCGATCCCCTCTCCCTTCCCCAAGCTCCGGGGCAGGTTGCGGCACGGTCTAACAGGGGATCAGGCTTCCCCAGCAACTGCACAAGCCGCTGCACACAAAGAGCCAGGCTGACTGCACAGGGCAAACCCGGAGCGCTCTCTCGCCATCTCGGCCACGGGCAGGGCTAAGGGCTAAGCCAGGTTTTAAGAGCCCAACGCCCCTCGCTGCGGGGACACAGGCCGCCTGCAGCACAGTCCCACCGCGCTGCACGGGGCAGCGCTTCCTGCCCTGTCTGACACTACCCCAGGGTCGCGGGGCTCAGCTCCTGCCCCGCTCCGAGAGGCCCCGGCCGTGCAGGAAGGAGCCCAGCGCCCGGCTCGCTCTTCCCCGGGGCTGCGGCTGGCAGGCGGGGCCGGGCGCGTACAGCCCTTACCGTCCGCAG